ACTAGATCAGCACTCTAGATTTTTGCATTATCGATCAAAAAGTCGCAGGCAATGCAAATTATCTAGAGAAGATAGAAACTGTCGGGAACAATTTTATGGTTTGTTTGACACATAGTGAAAAAAACATCGAGCAACTGGATAAACATTTCTTATATGCAGAAGCAGCAGCGAAGATACAAATATCAGTAGTGCGGAAGAAGAACAAGCAGAAGAGAAGAAAAGATCCTTGAGGTATATACTAAAAGATATCTTTTTCCATTTCTGATATGAGAATATGTGGTGGTAAAACAAGTTGATACCAAGTATCTCTCTCTCTCTGTAGTACTTGTCAGGCATCTCTCTCCGAAATTGGTATTAAGCATTTTTTTCCATTGGTTAGTTATAATCATAAAACAGTTAATGTGATACTAAATTCACTGAATGACATCAGCTAAAATGGGAAGTTTTTCCGGTTCATTTGATCGCGTTTGGCATTTCAGTACAGGGGCTTTTGAGGATGAAAGTTTTACATCCATGACTAATACGGAACGTGTCAAAGCGATGATAGAGATGGCAGCAGCAAATCAAACGCAATCGTTGGATTTACAGTGTTAGTTTGTTTCTGGGTTTACAGTGTTTATTAAATGTTTTCAGTGAAATTATCCTTGTATAATACTTTCAGTCCTTGTATAATATTTCCAAGTGTCTATAGAAAAAAGAAATAAATCAAGACTGTTGCATTATATTTTGTGCTTTAACTACTCAAACTTCTATTAAATATCGTTAATTACTCCTTCGTTTTCCCCTCCTCCTTTTTCTATTCCTACCTCTTTCCATTGCACTTCTTTATTAGCTTCTGTATTTAATTTCTTAGATGTAGTTTACTGAAGATTACTATTATGAGCAGTTACTACTCATTCTTTATATTTTTAATGTTATGCGCAAACGTAAATTTCTGTAATCAGACAAAAATTTGAGATTTTCAGGTAAAGGCTGTTATTCAGCAAAATTTTTATTCATATTCAATAAAAGTTTCCCATAGATCATTCTTTTTTTCTGTCTTCTCCTTTTGTCTCAAGTTTAGTGAGATTCTCATTGGTGTCAAGAGAATAGTACTTTTCAGCACTCCCAGATTTTATCTAACCTATTTGAGTTTAATGAGACTATTTGAGTTTTCAACTGTTTCCTGTATATTTTTCCCTTTCATAAACATGTTCCATCAGTCTGTCCTGTTTGTTATTTTAATTGTAGAGTGTGAATTCTGTACAAAATAAGAAAACATGCTGAATTCTGTAGCCTATGCAACTAGTACACATCATGAAAATGTTTATAACTACTATTCAGATCCAAATATTGATTACGCTGCGATTGGTAACGCAAATAGAACCGTTAGTTTTGGTTCTGATGAAACGTCAAGTTTAGTCGACACCAATTTGCTGATGCGTCTTGGTCTCGCAAAGTCGGATATGGTAGCATCAAAACCACCATTACAAAATAAATTTCTAAATGCTCAATCCCTGGTCAGTGGAAGCACTGTCCGCAATCATTTGGTGAATGCACATATTTCATCTGCCTTGGATACAACGAAATCCGTTAGGTGGAGTTTAAGCGTAATATGCAAGTCCCTAAATTTCAGATTACAAGTCTTATTTTATCTTTTCTCTGCAAATCCTGAGCATGTAAGGGCAGGAAAGAATTAGTACCGGGTAACTAATATTGAGCTAAGTAAACCATCTTGTCAACTTTGAATCGTAAGATGTGGATTCCTTTGCAGTAGGGGATACTCTACAGTGCTAAGTATCTCACTGTAAAAGGAGTTTTCTCGGATGGTTCTTCGGTTTTGAGAAATATTTCTCTGCATTTTTCTGGGACGCAGTCTTTTTTTGTTATTTCATTTATAAATGCATTAATTGTATGCTGTTTTCTTCTGTTTCACTGGATTAATTTAGGACAATAAGTAAAAGACTGCCGACTGGTGAAGTAGTGAAGGTGCGCCAAACACGTAAAAGTGTTGAAAATCCAATGAGTAACATAACTGCCACTACCTCTGCTGCAGCAACTGCCACTATTAATACTACAAAACCAATTGTACCATCTCGTGACCTAGCAGCCACATCTCGTGACCTAGCAGCCACAAGCACCACCGATGAACAACTTAATGCTGTCAAGTCAGCAAGAGATATTGCTCTCGCGAAGTTTTTAATTAAAGCAAATGCGTTCCAGTTACTTGAACTACCTGAGTTTAAGGTAATTGTTTTTCCTAAGTTTTTGTACTTTCCGTCAAAATCTTCATGATTCACAATGTTTGTGAATCTCAAGCAATCAGAAAAGAGCTTCGGTCTATATTCATTTAAAGATTATTGTGTGCAGAGCTACACACTATTTCGGCTGCTTTATTATTAAACATTTTGGTAATCATTTGTATCTATTTGCTATTTGTACTTGATTACATTTCAGTACTATTTCGTTAATAGGATTCATTTGCATGAATTCTTTTGTTGGCAATATGGACAGCATTCTGCAAAATGAATTTTGTGCTTACAATAATAATTTTCGTATTAGGCATTTTTCTCCTATCCATATAAAATTTCATGTACCCTCCATAATCTTTTTTCTACATTTTCACATCGTTTATTTTACACGATGTTAAAAAGATGGTGCAAATTTTCAAAAACCTTTAAAGACACTGTTAACACCGTTCATACGAGTTTTTTTTCTTTTTTAGCAGTTTGTGGATGTGCTGGATCCCACTTACCAAATACCTCAGAGTGGTTATTTGAAACGATTACTGGAATCTAAAACGGGTACTCATGATCTATCACCAGAGCATCAACCCGATATAGTTCAGGAACAGGGAGAATAGTGTGCGTGACAAATGGTATGTTGTCAGTAATCAATCATCTCAATGCTTTCATGTAATCAAGTTCTGTTTTCGGTGATAAAATCATTTGGACTGAAGTTAAGTTTTTATCGTTTAATTTTAGAGATGCCTCTTTATACCCTTCAGTATGCCTTTACAGGAAACAAATTCGTATTAAACATTGGATGCACTATTTCGTCTCTATGACCACAGATATCGGAGAATCTGTTTCTAGATGATGAGACGTCAAGTATATCTTTGCTTGAAACATCAGCCAGTAGATCATACTAGCCATGTGAATTTTCAGAAGATTACAAGAAAAGTTTTTCATTTTTCCATAGCCTTTTAATAACTGAAGGACATTACTTTGTGGTTGAATGAGGATTTCCTAATTTCTCTTTTTATCCACCAAACGGTTCATTCGATCTATCATATGATTTTAAGCCATATTACTTGCCGTTACTTGTTAAATGCTTTTTGCAAAATTTCCAACCTCATGTATAATGAGTTCTTTCGACCTTGTAGCCTTGGTCTTTAATCCTTACACTTATTATCTCATCACTTTTGAACATTTCTAAATTGAACTATTTTTTGTGATTCTTCCACTGTATCTGATACAGGATATTGCTGTCTCCAAATTATTATTTATTTCAGAAAAGAGGATACTATGTTATTATGTTAGTCATTTATCTGTCGTGGATATAAATCAATGAAAATTTTGTACTCATATTCAGACAAAAATTGATGTTACGCCAAATTCGCTAATTAGGACTTCGATTGCAACATTCCATAACTTTCTAAACACCGATAATACAATATTGGTGAAAGAAGTAATACAGAAGTTGAAGGTACATCATTTTTTGCTCCTTCATATCGTTTATATCAGTTGCTCAAACCATTCTAATGCCTATTATTTCTCATGCAATGTACGAATAACGTCTTTATGAAATCAGGATTCACTTTTGTTTAATATATCCTATTTGCTGCAATGTACGTTTGCTTTTTACTTTCTCTGACAGTTGCGAGATACATTTTACTTTTGTTTTACAGCTACAAGCTATGTTGCACATCAAGATGTTAGTGCCTCTGATCATTTCGTGCATTATACAGCTGCATCACATATCGCATCTAATCGAATAGCTATGCAATATGCATTAGCAATAAATTGTTTTAACAAATATAAACTAATTTTTATTCTTGTTGCTACTTCTTAGGATTATTGCCCTGGATTATCTTTTAAAAATTTTCAAACTGTCGGGGATTTATTTAATCTCAAACTGTTTTTTAATGGACAAGTGCAATCGTCGTTGCCAATCATTTCTATTAATGTTAATGAATGAATTAAATTTCTTTACTTTTTAAAGTTTACTGATGAATGTGCCTATGTCCTGTTTTGGTTTTGAATTAAATTTGAGATAAATTTTGTTATAATCGTTATCTTTTCTGAAACGAGTACGGTAGAAGGACGCTCCAATATCTGAACTCTACTGCTGTTTTAGATTTACTTTCCTGTGGTTAAAGTATGTGGAGACTTCAAGGTCGTCGTGATTTTGACGAAGCTTTTTGACCAAAGGTTGAACTGAAAATAATGTGAAGTTGGTGCTGATTTGACTTGCACTCCAAAGGATTTGCAAAAAAAAAGTTTGAGTATAATTGTTTCAGTGTTATAAGAGAATTGTTCTGCGAAAAATGACCAGCAAGTCTCCCCTACATTTCTTCCTTATGAAGTTTCTTGTATGCTTCATGTTTCTTATGAAGCGCTACAATAAAACTGTTCATCCCGAAGTACTCCGGTCAAGTAACACAAGGAAGAATTGTGAGCATGAATAATAATAGTAATAATCAGTTAAATTTCATATGCAGTTTTGCAAGTGGAGTAATTTATTAAAGTTTGCAATAATTCAATGCGACAAAAGATGTACATTTATCTGATAATCTGCAAAGTGATCTGTCGTCCTACTTCATTTTGTTGTTAGTCAAAGGAAGAAGGAAGAATACGTTTTCTGGGAATAATTTTTTGCAACTTTGTCGACTGTCTGCTATTCTGTGTTGCGAATTCAAATCTTCCTTAGTTCCTAGCAATTATCCAGATCAAATCTTCGAACAACGAAATATCTGAACATACAGTAAAACTTCATGGACAAAGACATACAAAATAGTATTAAAATACCAGTACTCCACCTGTTCTTCCATTAAAGCTTGCATAGCTGGATGGTTTTGGTAGTAGTGCTGCTGGTGCAAAAAGTGCCGATTGCTGTACGGAATTGTTGGAACGTTTCTTTCCTATTAAGGGTCTTAAAGTAGGAAATTCTGTCCAGTTGCTTTCCTCCGGATTTTGAAGGTGTAAAAAAGTAGATCGAGGAGGAGAAATGGACGGCTGATGAATGGAATGTGCTTTACTCATTCCACTGAGGGGAATATTATTCTGCTCTAAATAAACCATCTTTATAAATTCTTGGATGTTCACTGGTGGAGAGGAATCACTGATCAGTGAAGTTTTCGACTGACAATTCCGAATTCTCTCCCAGTGTTGACAACCATTGCTGTGACGAAATAAAGGTCCTGCAATCATACTACCTGCTCCCGGTTCATGTCGGTGATGACGAGCCGTAAATGAAGATGAAGTGGATGAGCTGAAACTGGACGTGCTATCGGCACCTGATTCGGTATAACTGAAACAAATCCGGTATCTCTCATGGCTAGCTATCTCTATTCATCGATGTTTTTTAATTTATCGCTCATCAATAGCATCACTAAGGATAGCAAAAAGTTTACCCTGATTCCGTTCGTTTCTTCGAAATGTGATCCGTGCCTATAACACTGCACTGTTGACCATCAGATGAATTCTGATATGTTCGGTCTATCAGTGTACACCAGTCAGCACATGGAGTTCGAATCCATGAATGTTTCAAAATTGTGTCCAGGGTGCATCGCTTGTTCGGCTCAAAGCGCAAACATTGATTGACCAAATCCACAGCACCTAACGAAATAGTTTTACTTCCAGAATTTCAAAATTCTAAAAAATCTCTTCGAAAGTTAATCGAATTGAAATCAGTTGAATAGCTAGGGACTTCTCAATTTTCTAGTTGAACATGCTAAGTGCTATAAATTAAAACCTTGAAATATAGAAGAGGGATGTTTCTCATTCCGTTTATTTCGGTATCCTACTTCTAAAACTTACTTTTGCTGACTTCTGCATAGAATGGTAATGTTCCTAGTAGATGTGATGTGCAAATCTCTTTTTCATTACGAAAGGGCAACCTCCCATTGAGCATATTGTAAAGTAGGACACCTAACGACCAGACCGCTGCCTCGCAACCTAAATACATCGAGTGCAGGAACCATTCCGGTGGACAGTATAAACGAGTTCCTGAAAGATATCACTTGGTTAGTGGAAAGTGATGAAAGCTAATTTCACTGTTCAACTATGTAACTTGAATGAAGTAATTGTGTCTACTGCTTCTATTGAGAGGAAGTAAATATCGAAGTGATAACAAAGAACTTGTTGCTTCCAGGCTAAATGTTTTCGTGAAAGTAAAATTGTCTAAATCAACTTTAATAAATAGATACCCTGAAAATCAGTGTAGTGATTCTTCTTAAGCAAAGTTGCAGCACCAAAATCAATTAGCGATGTTTCGCCACTCACCAAATCGATTACTATATTTTCATCCTGCAACTGTTAATTTAAAAACTTAAAAAGTAATTGTTTATAAGATTTCATCGCAAAACAAAAAACAGAAAAAACAAAACAAAAATCCTTGTTGCAATGTGTTTCACACTGACTACGTCAATATGATAATACCAATTGGTTGACCCACTGATGATGATCATTTACGCCACAATGTTTGTGTTTGAATTTCGAGAAAAATATTTAAGTTGCTAATCAATTTTTCAAAAGTAATGATGAATGCAGTTTTAAAAAATTTGCACATAGAAAGTGCAGGGACATTAATTTTTGTAGTCTTTTATTTTTGTACACTACCAATACAGACCTTGAGATCACGATGCAATACCTTCTGCTGGGCACAGTCGCGAATAGTCAGAGCTATTTGTCGGAACAGAAATCGCGTAAGCTGTAAAAGATTTTAATGAATGACAGAATATAGTCTGAAATTATTTTTGAATTTTTTAGGTGATATTGGGAGCTTTTTCCATTATAAGGCTGTTATGTTAAATGCCAAGTGCTATAGGGGTAATTTCTGCCATTTTTTCTTGGCGTAATTATTTATAATTGTTAAACTTACATCTTCATCCAACTTCTTATGGCTTTTAATAAAATCGAATAGGTCAACGCATGGATATGGACGTGTCATTACAATTAAAAAACCTTGTGGCATACTGTACCAATCCAGTAGTTTGATCACTCCCGGAACATTAACACATCGTGCTAACATACAAATTTCCATCGGTAACCGCTCATCTTCCAACTGAAATGGATATTCCATCCTTTTAAATGGTGTCCACACCAAAAGTTTAGTTTCGGATTTGTTCGGATGATGGGAAAAATATTACTTTGCCCCAATTGCGAACTTGGTCACGATCAATGAATTTGATAGCAACCGGAAGTTCATCACAAATTCGCATTCCACGATAGACTATCCCGAAACCACCACGACCAAGTTCCCCTTTAAGCTTGTAGCGTTTTTTGAAATTCGATAGACCACGACCTAGACTTTAAAAATGTTATTGAAATTTCTTGTTGTTGAAATTATATTTATGCATGTGCATGCTAAAAAATCTTTACTCAGTACACATTTATCTATACGAATAGTTTCCAATTTCATTGACTTTTTTAAATTTATTAATCTTGAGATTTCCAGTAAAACATTTCTAAGCTTCCTCAATTCTATCAAAGAATATATCCTTCTAACTATACATTAAAATAGACAATTATAATGCTTTTATGATTTGAATTAGTTTGGAAAATTAGTTCTTTTCTTTTTCGTCATTGCAAAAAATATAGTGAAGAATACCGTTTAGGAGTAATTTCAAATTGTACAATTGTACCGTCGCAAGTTTCTTTACTTTCTTGGCGATCTGCGCCATAATGAAATGTCATTTAATAACGAAACAGTTTTTCTCAGAACTGAGCGAACACTCCAGGTAACAATGGATTTTTATCAAACGTGAAATACGTATCGATGCTATTCGCTGTTTCTGCACATTGTATATAAATTAAATTACAAGTGTTTATAGGGAAAGTGCATAAAATCGGGTATTAGATATAATCGGTGGATCATAACAAAAGCCCTGATTCAAAACTCAGATATTCGAGTTAAATTAGAAAAAGTAAGAAGCAGAAAAAAGGGAAAATTGGCTTCAATTTCGACTGATTCAGAGAGAAATAATAATCGTAAATTGGATATTCTCATTTGATAAAACTTTTTAAGGATTCGTTACAGCTTAGCTAACGCTACGAATCTACTTCATTCGATCATCTTTTCCTTTCATTAAGCGAGATCTGAAAGATTGTGCATACACAACAGCAATCCAACATTTTCCTGATTTTTTCGAAGGAACCGGATGTCTTAAGCTCAAAAGAAGATATTATAACATATTAAGGAAATCGATTTGCAACTGATCAGAGTCATTTTCTTGTTTGAAAACACGTTTTTTGTTAAAGGAAAGCATTCAAGCTCTGTTATAGTTTCCGGTTTTCAGAATTTTTTCCCAAAATAAAATTTTTCACTTAACATGCTGGTTAAGAAATAAAGAAGTTTCCAAGAATTTGTTATATTCCAAGAAAGTAGATCAAATGTAATATTTACTGGTGTCAACAAGAGAAACAGCATAGAAATTAATGATCACATTGTTTTGTCAATTTATTACGGACCACTAGCTTAGTAGCTGCAAAAAATATGACTTTTAATTTTTGTTGTTTTTTTTTTTTTGAAATCCTTTGCTCCATATTCATTACTTTGAGCTTTTTTTCTCTTCATTATTGCTCTTTACATGGCTAGCATATTTTCACGCTAGTTAATTAAATCATTGTTCAAAGAGCATTTTTCGAAACCGTTTTCTTTAACAACAGAAGAAATATTATCCAAAAGATACACACGAAAGGTTTCAGAAATTTAATAAATCAATAGTTGCATGGATAAAGTTAACAAAACATTTATGATTTTTCGAGTAACTTTTAGGAAAAGAAAAAATTAAATCCTGTTAGTAATCATTTCACATTTGACAATTTTCTTGATTATACTATTATACTAAGTCTAATCGTTACAAATCTAAATAATGCTTTATAAGCTATACGAAAAAAACTAATAAAAAGGCGTAATATGTCATTCATTTCTAAAATTTATTGTAATTGAATCATAAGAATTGATGATATTGAAAGTAACAATTGTAGTGATAACGGAATTAAAGGCCAGTGAAAAGAATTAGCAAGAAAATTTGGCGCGAGGACTGAGTGACAATATTATCTACTAGCATCTACTATGTAGCGTCTAGTCTAGTCGGATGAAACTATTGCAATTAATCGAGCAAATATATTATTTATGAAACAAAAGTAAAGAAAAAAATGCTAACTGAAAGAAACTAAATTTTTATAAAATCTTGGGACTATCTGTAATAAAAAACAGTACTTTTCCACTTTCCAAATTTACTTTTTTAAATATAATAAAAAGCAAGATTATTTGCTTCAGAAATAGGTTTCGCATAATAATGGTACATTATTTCAGTAAGTTATAAGGCAATAATTTTCTTGAAACTATCTATCTATCTATCTATCTATCTATCTATCTATCTATCTATCTATCTATCTATCTATCTATCTATCTATCTATCTATCTATCTATCTATCTATCTATCTATCTATCTATCTATCTATCTATCTATCTATCTATCTATCTATCTATCTATCTATCTATTTTCTATCAAACTATCTATCTATCTATCTATCTATCTATCTATCTATCTATCTATCTATCTATCTATCTATATATATATATATATAGATAGAGAGAGAGAGAGAGAGAGATAGAGAGATCTAAATTGAAATTGTTAAGTGTTTAATAACTGAAGAAATACAATAACAATTTGTTCAGAATAAAACTGAATATATGATTTGAAATAGAAGTCATTTTCAAAGAAAAATAGTAAAGTGGCGCAAATGCGTAAAAGCATAAAAGCTAATTCTAAAGTTACATAATAACAATAATTTCTATCAAATATTGAAATCAAGAAAAAACTAGTAGTTTGCTTTGATAGTTGATTTTGCTGAAAACAAGGAAACGACTTCATAATGTGGATTTTAAAAAAGCAAAGAATACGACTGTGATGAGCAAATGAAACAGAAGGCAATTTTGTTTAAGTGAAGAAATTAAAAAAAAAAAAAAAAAAAAAAAAATCATTTAAATGAATTAAGAATTTATTAACTTCTGTAAACTGCTCAGTCACTTAATTTTCGTCCTATGAATGGCCAAATCTTTTTTCTTTTTTTTTTGGTTTAAACAATTCTTAATAATAAAAGTGTTGAATCATAAAACCGTCTGTCTTTACTATCCATCGTATTTTGATAAGAAACCCTACATGTGTACTGAGAAAATTTCTAGGTTTGTTTTCACATTGCATCTTAATCATACAGCTGCAATAAATGTACAGAAAAATAAAACATGTTTTGGATTTTTTTTTAACTTTACAAACAAATTTTTCCCGACAAAATGAATTGTATCATGTTTGCACATTATACAATTAGTGCATTTCTATAACTTCGGCAAGAAATTGCTCTTATATCTCGGGCCAAGAAAGAATCTACTGAAATCGGTTTTGTTTAAGTACAAATATATAGAAAATAAGGAAAATTCGTATTAGTAGAATTTCTTGCAAAATTCCTTGTATAACTAAAACGTTTGAATTCTTCTTTTAACTTTAGAAATAAATCTTTCGCAACAAAGTGATGTAAATAATACTTTTCAGGCTTATTTTCATTTTGTACCGCAATCATAACAGCTATAAATGCGCAGAAAACTTTTTGCGCAACTAATTCAAAATTTTACTAATAAGTATTGGAGAAATAATGAAACCATACATTGTTTCATTCTTCGGCTCTCTCCCTATCTCTCCGTCTCTCTCTCTCGATACACAGAACCAAATAAAGAAATGTTAGAACTACTAAATCCAAATAAAGATAAACTAAGAGCATGATCGAGACTGAGCATTTACGATAAGGTAAAATGTAAGTAGCAATGTAATATTTCCCCACAACCATTCTGGATAGATCTTCAACTTTTGAAAAAAAAAAAAGAAACTTTTTTTCATCAAAACAACTGCGACATACAAGATAAATCATAATAAATCACTGTGTCTATCATCACTTCATTTCTATCCTGTTCCAAAAATTTCTTCTGGTAGCGACTATAAAAGTATACAATTTCTAACGAAGACTCATTTTTACACAGAAACTGCAACATCCTCTTTTAAATCAACAGAAGAAAATATGTTGCGATGCTAAGTAAAGCTGGAAGTAAAAACGTAATTTCGAACTAAACTGTTTGCAATATTTCTAACTTGGAAATCAGACACATTATCTTATGAGAAATTACAATAGATTTCGGATAAAATAGCTTCATTTGTTGCTTATTCTTTTATCCTTCATTTTAGCTTCTAATTCCAATACTTTTCAAATGTCTCATTTTTATTGTTTTCACCAAATTGATTATAGAAGTGCCACCAAAAAGCTTAGTTGATATTAAATATAATTTATAAATGAACCAATACTCTTCCGTTGTAACTTCTCGCTGTTGAAATTTTTTAAAAAAAAAAACTTGCAGAGTTACCATGCCACGTTATCATCCTCACAACAAATGCGGTGACTAAGAAATTACACTTTACTCAAATATCATTTCAGACATCTGATTGAAATTTCATTGACAATATCACAATAATTCAGTTATTCAGTTATACATAACTGTGATGATTTATTGCGATTTTATTTGGACGACCCTTGAAACTACTCAAATTAACTAACTTGTAGACAATATATTAAGGCAGTGTAAAACTAAACACTGCACCTAACAAACTATTAATGCTTTCAACAAATACTTTAATCCATACTGAGTTCTCAGTCGGAAATTATAGTAATTCAGGGATGGAATTACTATGCATAAGCATTTCTTAATACTCCAATGCAAAAACATTAAATGCTAGAACGATCATTTTCATTGCCTCCCCATCACAATAGCACAAACTACAACCATCGCATCCTACCGAGATGTGAGAATTTAGCAAACCTACTTCAAACCTCGGGTCCGCAGTTGGTTTGCTAAATGTCACAAAGCTTTGTTAGGAAACAGTTTATAGCCTTCTAAATTACTAAGTGCACATCGCCATGACATGTTGAAGTATTACACATATAAGTCGACTGAAAGAAGGAAGAGCTTAGAGATTCTAATAAAAATAAATCATTTAACCTCAAAGAGTGGAGAAAGTAAGCTTCATCAGTAACGTTAACCGAAAAGCTTATCTTTCCGGTTACACATCTGTGTCTTCCCTAATTTCTTGCTCATTTGTGAGTTAATCGTGGGACAACAAAGAGCCATTAAGGACTATTTCCTTGTCAACCTCCTCATGGTGATGTTAGAACTGGAGGTGATACAAACAATATTCTTTAAAGAGACAAATATTTCATATGACTTCCCTTTCTTCTACAATTTTCGTGTATAAAGTTTCCAGGGGGCTTTGTGCTATCTTTCAAAAAAAGAAATAACAGACAATAATATTAACAAAAGCTTCTTTTAGTTATGGACAGGATTTCTCAGGATCAGTGGGGAAGATTTACAGCTTTCCAGCTTATCTCTTGCATACCAATATATTTAGGAAATGATTCACAAGATATGAAAGAGCAAAAATAAAAGAAGCAAAAACGATGTTTGAAAAAAATCAATTTCATATTGCAAAAACCCGATGCTTTTGTTTACCTTTTCTTTAATAAGTCTATCCGTCACATTCCTCCTTTGTTCTATCCAAAAAAAAATAGATAACTTGTTCAAAGTTAATTTCGTATTCACTTCTGTCCATGCGGCGAGAAAGTCTGTTGTTTCCAC